TGGCAGTAGGTGTTTGGTGTCTCCTGCTGGTCAGTGTTGAGCAGGTAGGGGGCAGGTAGCCATGACCAACTCATCTGAAGCCATGCCCCCATGCTGCTCCCTTGGCTGGTAGGCTGTGAGGCACCACCCCTCCTTGTGCCCTACAGACAAGACCCTTGTGAGCCTGAGCCAGGCTGGAGCGAAGCCTTTCAGGCTTTATCCGCTGCCTACCATATTTCTCTCACTTTCTCCTCTCTGGGCCACTGGTGGGTTTTGTATAGGGGTAGGGGTGTCGGAAGTTAGGGTTCAGAAGCTCAGAGGTTGGTGGGAGGGCTGGGCCCCACTCTCCTCAGAGCACGAGGGCCCGCACTGGGGGGCAGGCTCTGAGGTGTCCGAGCCTCACCCAGAAAAAAAATCTACCTCAGGGGATCGAAATACCCTCTGGCCAATGACCCTGGGCAGTTTTTTCCCCTCAGTGAGTAACTGTAACATGGGGACCGGCTGGGTGGGAATGAGGTCGTTGGACTCTGGGCTCCAGCTCCCTTCTGGCGTCAAGCATCACCCCTGGGAGGAGTAAGGTGTGTAATCAACCATCGATCTGTTTGAGATGATTGGATTTGTTCCTTCATGAACGCTGGCCTCCACTTGACTTCACACTAATACATTTGTTCATAAAAAGAGAATAATGCATATTTTATTATTCAGAATTTGGCAGTACTTGTGTGTTATATTTAGTTCCTTGGATGCAAAGAGGAAATTAGCTGTTGTCTCCTATCCTCACCTAACGGGAAGGAAAATTGTCAGGGTTAAATCCAAAGAAGGGGTGCTGCACACTGGCTAAGCTGGCCCTGGTGTGCTTTGGGGCAGAAGAAAACCATCAGGAGCTCAAAAGAAAGCAAGGAAGTGGAAGGTGACTATCCCATGGGGTGTTCCCAAGAGCTACCTACTGGGTGGAGCCTACGACACATCCGCATCACTGTGCTCAGAGGTAGAGCTAACGTTCGATTAGAAAGAAGAGCATTGATGAGATTATGGTTTCTCTTATTTCAAAGAACGCTGATGCCAGTGATGATGTCAGCCTGTGTCTGATCTCAGTTACCATTAGTGTCCCTCCCTGCCTATTACACTGAGCATCACCATCCCAAACAGGTTTCCTGCCCTTTCTCTATTCCTTGCCTCTGACCCCACTGTTTCCTTAGCCTTGCCAGTCAGTCCTTACATCATGCCTTCATTTGGCGAATATGGTTGGCAAATATCAACTCTTCTTAGGAGCCTTCCTTCATTCTAACAAGCAGAGCCAGGTATGATTTCTGTTCTGTTATAGAATTGTGCTCATATCTCACTTACTCAGTATTATACTTTATAAAATTATCTCTTTATTTTATTATACAGTTCTGTTCAATCTTTTTTTTTTCAGTCTTATTTTACATAATATTCTATCATAACTATCTTCTTATATTGTCATCTCCTCCACTTGATTGTGAACTGGTGCCCTGAAACATGGACACTTCCTCTTGAAATCACCATTGTCCAGTATGTAGGAGATGTTCAGGAAATCTTGTTGAATCATTGAATTAATTTTCACCTAGGAGAATTGGTCACAACTTAAATTCTTAGGAAAAAATCTCTTGCTTTTGTTGTTGTTTGCTAGGAAGATTGCACATTATTCCATTATCATTTATTACTAATTGTATTTTCTATTTGGTGAGTTGTTACTTTTATACTTTTTGCCCATTACTGAAGTCTTAAGTTTCTTGGTTATGTCATATAAAGTAATTTGTATAAGATATTCATTCAGTGAATAATTTTGAGCATATCCCATGTGTGACATTGTTTTAGGTGCTAGAGATGTGTAGTTAGCAAAGAAACAAAAATCCTTGCATGGCAACCTAAATGTCCATCAACAGGGGAATGGATAAAGAAGATGTGGTACATATATACAATGGAATATTACACAGCCATAAAAAAGAATGAAAGAATGATATTTTCAGCAACATGGATGGACTTAGAGGTTACCATACTAACTGAAGTAAGTCAGAGAAAAACAGATGTTATATATTAATGCATATATGTGAAATTTAGAAAAATGGTACAGATAGATCTACTTGCAAAGCAGAAATAGAGACACGTAGAGAACAAACGTATGGATACTAAGGGGGGAAGGGGTGGGAGTGGGATGAATTGGGAGATTGGGGTTGACATATATACACTACTATGTATAAAATAGATAACTAATGAGAACCTAAAATAGATAACTAATGAGAACCTACTGTATAGCACAGGGAACTCTACTCAGTGCTCTGTGGTGACCTAAATGTAAAGGAAATCCAAAAAGGAGGGGATATATGTATGTGTGTAACTGATTCACCTTGCTGTACAGCAGAAACTAACACAACATTGTAAAGCAGCTATATGCCAATAAAAAAAAAAATCCTTGCATGTTTGGTAGAATTTTCCTATAAAACCATCCTGAGGGTTTTTTTTTTTAACTTTGTTTTTGTGCAAAGCATTTAAACTACTGATTCAAGTTTTGAAAGATTATGTCAATTTTTATTTAATTTTTGACTGATTTATACTTCTTTTTGAGACAATTTTGGTAGGTAGATTTTTCTAGGAATTTATCCATTTCATTTAAGTTTTCAAATCCATTGTAATAAAATCATTCATAATATTTATTATCTTTTAAGTCTCTGCTCTGTATTTATTTCTCCCTTTACATTCCCAAGATTCTTTCCTATTTTTTCTTTACTTATCTTCCTAGAGGTTTGTGAATTTTGTTATTGTTTTCAAATACTTTTATGGGTCTATTTTACTTTCAATTTCTTTTTTTTTATACATTTATTTATTAATTAATTTATTTATGTTTGGCTGCATTGGGTCTTCGTCGCTGCGCTCGGGCTTTCTCTAGTTGCAACAAGTGGGGGCTACTCTTTTTTTTTTTTTTTCGGTACGCAGGCCTCTCAGTGTTGTGGCCTCTCCCATTGCGGAGCACAGGCTCTGGACGCACAGGCTCAGCAGCCATGGCTTATGGGCCTAGCTGCTCCGCGGCATGTGGGATCTTCCTGGACTGGGCACGAACCCGTGTCCCCTGCATCGGCAGGCGGACTCTCAACCACTGCGCCACCAGGGAATCCCTGGGGGCTACTCTTCATTGCGGTGCACAGGCTTCTCATTGCGGTGGTTTCTCTTGTTGCGGAGCATGGGCTCTAGGCGCACGGGCTTCAGTAGTTGTGGCATGTGGGCTCAGTAGTTGTGGCTCACGGGCTTAGTTGCTCCACGGCGTGTGGGATCTTCCCGGACCAGGCATCAAACCTGTGTCCCCTGCATTGGCAGGCGGATTCTTAACCACTGCGCCACCATGGAAGCCCCACTTTCAATTTCTGTTTAACTAATTTCTCTCTTATGTTTATTATTTTTTCCTTAAACTCTTTTTTTTCTTCTTCTTCTTCTTCTTTTTTCTTTTTTGCCACACCGCACAGCTTGTGGGATCTTCCCCGACCAGGGATTGAACCTGGGCCACCTCAGGGAAAGCCTGGAATCCTAACCACTAGGCCACCAGAAAAGTCCTTCCTTATACCCTTTTTGAGTTTCTTCTACTCTTCCTTTTTCTGCAGTTTCTTTTTCAAGTTAAACACTTCTTACCAATTTGTAGCCTTTCTTCTTTTCTGGTATAAACATTTAAGGTCTAAATTATCCTCTAAGAGCCTCTTTAGCTGCCGACCACAATTTTTGTTGTTGTTGTTGTTTGTTTTTTTTGGTCGCACTGGACAGCATGTTAGGATCTTAGTTCCCCCACCCACACCCCCTGTAGTGTAAGCTTGGAGTCTTAATCACTGGACTGCCAGAGAAGTCCCAGACCACAATATTGGATAAATGATATTTTATTATCATTCAGTTATAAGTGTTTTCTATTTTCTATAGTATTTTCTTTGACATCCAGGTTACATGAAAATGTGTTTTCTAGTTTTCAAATGTGCAGTAATTTTTAGTTATTGTCAAAAAACAAAACGAAACAGCCCATTTGTAATTTAACTGTTTGCAATCTTTTATTTCCTTTCCAAAGTTTTTTCTGTTTCTTCAGACCTCCCCTGTAATATAGTTTGTTCAAATGCTTTCTTGACCCAGTTTTGAGGACCGGTCAGTTCCCCTTTTTGAGGAGTTAGGTCCATACCCCAGTCACTTCCCCCATTAGCCTCTTGTGTGTACTCTGGGATCACTAGGAACCAGCCCTAATTGTCCTGGGGACTGGGAATAGATGACTAGGGACAGCTCCTCTGCTCCAAGCCTACAAAGTTTTTCAACTTAGCCAATCAACAGAGAACTCTTGAAAACTAATTAACCCCACCCTGCTTGCCATACATAAGTTGCCCCCTACAGCTCTCGCTTGCTGTTACTGTCCTTGGGTGCAACCCCTGTGTGGCCTGCCTCACAGCCTTCTCTCATTTTAAGCTGTAAGTAACAGGTCTGACACCAAATTCTGGATGCTTTATCACCTCTGCTGTGCAGCAGAGGTCCATGGAGCGCCTCCTGAAGGCCTTGGGAGTTTTTGCCTTCCAGTGTCAGACACGCTGGGTGGCTACGGTACCTGTGGCCCGGGGATTGTATTTTGATGTCTTTGGTCGTGAAATAAGATTTGGTCCACTAGGGGGCGCTGTAGGCTCACGCTATCGCTTTGTTTCTTGCTGAAGGTCTGTGCTGTGCAGCATATGACATACCACCTTGCTTTGGGGGTGGGTTTGCTCTGGGTATTTTTTTGTTGGTCACCTTCTCTCTGGTCAGGTTTCAGAAACTTAGCTCAATAAAAGATATTGTCCATGAAAATGTCAGGAGGATAGGCGTTAGCCCTGACTGTGTCTCTGGCTGTGTTGCCTTTGAGTGCACCACCTCCCTTCTCTGGATTTTTCTTTTTTTTTTAAACCACTGTTAATCTTTTAGTAGACACAGCTTTCCGAGTTTTTTCTGTACATGGATCACTAGGTAAGTATCTTTGTAGTTTTACAAAAATGGACTGATGCCGTATATATGGTTCTGAAAACTGGTTTTTTAAACATTTTACAATGCACCATAAACATTTTTCCATGCAATGGATGAAAATCTGCTACTGAAACACACAGGGCTGCAGTTGGATAAAGAGAGTGACACCTAAAGCATAGTATTAGCATAAGGTTAAATAAAGCATAGGGCCTTGCAAATGCCTGCCAGGGGCACTACACAAAAGGAATGTCTTCAAAGCCCCTTTGTGGGGCCCTGCAGCCACCCCTGAGTTCCCTTGGGCCCCTCGGGTGGAAGGGGTCCTGTAAACTTTTTTGCATCCAATTTCTGTCTGGTTTTCTTCACCTCATCCTCCACCCTAGCCATCTCGTCAAATTCTCTTATCATCGCTTCATTGCTCAAATGCATATCGTGTATGGCCTCCTTGTATTCCTTGAGACACTGAGCCAGCCCCTTGTTGGTTTTTCTTTTGGCCTTCCTGGGTACATCATCCCCAGCTGGGCGCTTTCCTGCAGCCCTTGGTTTGCTGGCTGGCTTTTCTTCTTTTGGCTTTCCCTCGCTCACTGGCTTTCCCTCACTTACTGGATTTCCTTCTTTTGGCTTTGCCTCACTCTCTGGCTTTTCCTTATCCTTTAGTACTTCCTCATCTTCTGTCTTTCCCCTGAGATCTGTCCTTCTCTTGTTTTCTAACTTTTCCTTGTCTTCCACAGTACAAGCTACTCCCGGCTTTCCCGCAACCAGTGGCTGTTCTTTGTTTTCCATCTTGCCTTGGTTCTCAGGCTTTCCTTAATTTTCACTGCGAGGATTCAGGACAGGTTCCTCCTCTTTCTCTAGCCCAGTAGAGCACTGGGAACAACAGACACGTACACCTGAAAGAACCTGGAGCAACAATTAGGGGCTCCCAGACGGCTTTGGGTCCGACAGCAGGCTTCTCTGGATTCTTAAAATTTCAACCTTTATTCTTTTTTTTTTTTTTTTTTTTGGTGGGTGGGGATATTGTTTAGTTTTGAATCCCTTACTGGAGGGAAAACCTATTTAGTGTTTCTCCAGGACACTATCATTATTACTTTGCAAACCTGAAGACCAACTTTCTCCAGGGCAGTAACCTTTGCAAGTTGGAAATCTGAAACCTGCTTTTTTTTTTTTTTAATTAATTAATTAATTAATTTATTTTTGGCTGTGTTGGGTCTTCGTTGCTGTGCACGAGCTTTCTTTAGTTGCAGTGAGCAGAGGCTACTCTTCGTTGCGGTGTGCCAGCTTCTCATTGTTGTGGCTTCTCTTGTTGCAGAGCACAGGCTCTAGGTGTGCGGGCTTCAGTAGTTGTGGCACGTGGGCTCAGTAGTTGTGGCTTGCGGGCTCTAGAGCTCAGGCTCAGTAGTTGTGGCTCACGGGCTTAGTTGCTCCGCGGCATGTGGGATCTTCCTGGACCAGGGCTCGAACCTGTGTCCCCTGCATTGGCAGGCGGATTCTTAACCACTGCACCATCAGGGAAGCCCTGAAACCTGCTTTTAACCTGAACAGCAACTCAGAAATTGATTGTGGCCCGCTGCGTCTAAATCAAAATATTTCCTGGATTCCTAGTTATGGCTAAGGGCAACATGCCAGGCTCACCCATTTCAAGAGAGAAAGCTATTCCTGTGTGTTTTATTTATCCTACTAATTTTCACAGCTGGTGCCATTTTGAGCACATATCTGTACCAGGCACCATGCTAAGTGTTTTACAAACATTAGGTCATTAATCCTCCCACAATCCTCAGGCTTTATCACCCTTTTTTACAGATGAGAAAATTGAGGTTCGTATAGCTAGTACATGGTGGCCCTGAGATCCAAACCCAGACTGAGCAGGTCTCAAAAAGCAAGTGCCCTTAGCTAACATGGACCCTGGAGCTTGGGCTTATCCCCACTCATGGGGCCAGGTGTCTGTCACATGGCCAGTCAGTCAAGGGAGCACCAACTAGCTTTAAGGGACCATCTCCAGACCCACAACGACCAACTACCACTGATGACAATTTGGACATCCAGATATCATCTGTTCTAGACCTTACCACTTCTCCCCCCTCCATGGAGGGTCCATGGAGACTTACGCAACATGCTCAGATGGCCTTGCCCAGGGTAACTCGTCCCTCAAGGCCTCTAATTCCATGGTGGAACCTTCCTCAGGCTCTGCATTTCTAAAAATAAGTTACTCTGTATAATGGGCATGGATTTACTGGTCAAATTGTTACCGAATCAGGTCGTATGGACCCCTGCTCGGGCCCTAGCCCAGCCGAGGCCCCCTGCCTCAGCAGGGAAGTTTCAGGTTCGTGCAGCCAGAAACAAAAACGAAGCTGAGATTGATGCAGTGCAAGCTTTATTAAATGGCCTGAGAATGGAGAAGCGGGAACTTTGTTTACGGATGAGCTTCTCGCACACGTGGATCAACTTTGGGTCATAGCCTAGAGCAGCCGTGTCATTTAGTAGCTGATGTAGTGAAATCAGCATAGAATGAGGCTCAGGGGTTGCTGGAGGTCAGATTCATCTTGATTCCAGCTGGTTCTATCTGGGCTTTCGTTTTTCTCTTCCTATAACTCCGCTTTTTTGTCTCCAGACCCTATGACTTAAAGATACATGTTAGTTCCTGTCCAAGGGAGGGGTTGGAGGGTTTTGAGCAAGGATCTGGTGTCAGCTCTGGCAACAAAATATATCTGGGACATTTTTACTCTACATCTGCTTCCAGAGTTCATGATACTATTAGCACTGGAAAGCACTGCCGTAAGGAACTGTATTTAACCTGAATCCAAGAACAGCATTCCCTAAGGTTATTTGTCTATTTCCTTTTCACTGGATTTCTATGAATCTGGTTCCACAGTTCACAGGTGGGAATATTACTCTAGCTGAGGAGTCCTCAGCCTCAGCACTGCTGGCCTTCTGGGCTGGACGACTGTATTGTGGAGGGCTGGCCTGTGTGCGGTAGGATTTTAAGCAGCATTTCTGGTCTTTTCCCGTTAGAAGCCAGAAGCAACTCCCCCCACCCTAAACAAACCTTACTCTTTTATATATATATAAAGCATATATATTTGCATATATATATATGAAACATAAGCAGATTTACTATTTATCTGTGGTATTATTATTATTATTAATTTGGCTGCACCAAGCAGCTTGTGGGATCTCAGTACCCAGACGAGAGATCGAACCCGGGCCACTGAATCATAACCACTAGACCACCAGGGAACTTCCCTATTTATCTGTGGTATTAAAATATATCATGGGGAGGTGACTAGGAAAAAAAAATCCAAAAAGACTCCTTGGGAGGGGTGATAATGGAAAAAAAAAGGTTGATAAACACCACTCTAGCTCAATTTTTCAGTTCTTATTTATGCAAATTCCTCAGGAAAAATGACATTTGTGGCTCTTGTAAGCTGAACCAAAGAGCCAAGCAACTGTGGACACATAGAAGGAAATGGCTGGGAGTTGGCAGAAGCTGGCAGGATACCATATAGAAAAGACTCAGGACTGATGTCAGCTCCTTGGCTACAATGGGTACATGAACCTGAAGAAGCTCTCAGCCAGGAGCACTGTCAGGGGAAGCTCTGCTGTTTCTCAGTGGAAGGGGCTTGGGGGAGGGCTCTTCCTGTTGGGAAAAGGGCTTAGAGCTTTGTTGTCATGTCACTTTACACCAGGCTGAGGATGTTTATTGAATGTGGTTGACTAGGGCCTCCACATCACTGCCAGACATTTGGATACACTTTTCTCTCCTCCTGACTATCCTTATTCTTAAATAAATCTGGCCTCTCACTCCGACCTCCTCAGATCCCACTGTTTAGAGAACACTGAATATCTTGATTGCTGGCCACTGTACATCCATGATGGGGAAATAACAAACAGCCCACTGATCCAGAGTATAAAGATCACTTCTACAGCACATAGCCAGCTAAAATGAAAAAATTTAAATTAAAAATCCAACAAATAAATTTTAAAACATTTAAAAGTTTCTCTCTTGAAAAACTTAACTTCCCTCATCTTGCAGAGAGCAAACCTTCCCAGCTTTCAGTCTGGGGAAATGAGTGACTAAGAGTTTAACCTGAACCCAAGCTAAGAGTCACTCATTTTCTGCTTCTTACTTCTATCAAAAAACCCCACTTGAACTCAGCATAAATGGATGAGGAACAGAGCTGGTGCTCACAGGAAGCCACGAGCCCTTCAAAGGCTCCTGTCGTTCTTAGCGCCGTGCTTCTTGAGCAAGCCAGGCACTGCCTCGCAGACCTGCCTTGGAGCTACTTTCAGAAACACAAGGTAAGGGGCCGGCGTGGCCGGGGGGGTAGGGGGGTGCGGGTGAGGGGACACGTTCCCAGGGCCTCAGGCCCTGCATTGCTTTGTCCACAGGTGTGTGGACTTTGGAAGCGCTGAGAGCTGCCCAGCCACACAGCTAACCCTATCACTCAGGCATCCTGGTCATCCTGCTGGTCGTTCTGTTGGCACCTGTCCTGAAGCTCACACACAACCCACCCTCCCAGCCCTCATCTGACTGGCGCTCACATACATACAGGGCTCTCCTCCTGCACACATGTGGCCTAAGCCACAGGCTCAGAACACACAGCTAATTTTCATTCAGCATATACACTTTTCCGCTTCTGGCTTCTATCAAGACTCCCAGGTCAAGAAACACCTGCCAAATAAGGCCTGCAGAATAATTCCAGACATTTACCAGCTGTGTTGACTTTCGTTTCTTCTCCTGATAATTTCCTAACACCTCAGTCTCTCTTATTCCTTTCATTTTCACTGGTAAAATTATGGAGGAAGGCTAGAATTGTTATTCATTTAACTAGACTTGATAATCATTTAACAGTTTTTTTTTTTTTTTTGAGACCCTGAGATGCCCCAGGTCTTCAGCATCTGTTTGCAGGAATAAACCAAAACCTCTCTCTTGAGAAACACGTAGCTTGGGTGTTTGGGTGTGTGGAGGTCAGGGTGGGAGATGGGGAATAGATGTGAATTATCGAACAATGTGAAAGGGTTTTGATAAGGAATATCAGGGTGCCACTAAGAAGGATGCAAGAGGAGGTGGCCTTGAGTTGGAAAGCCTCCTGCATTGCTCCGATTTACATGTGGACGTGTGAATAACTTTAAGAAGGTAACCTCTTCATCTGCCAATTTAGATAAGAAATGAGGGTGGTTGGCGAGGTAGAGATTTTATTTCTGGCTATGATGTGCCTTTTCTAGATCTGTCCTGCTAACTCCCACTCTGATAGGATTCAGTGTGTAAGATTGATTTTTTTTTTTTTTTTTTTTGCGGTACGCGGGCCTCTCACTGCTGTGGCCTCTCCCGTTGGGGAGCACAGGCTCCGGATGCGCAGGCTCAGCGGCCATGGTGCACGGGCCCAGCCGCTCCGCGGCACGTGGGATCTTCCCGGACCGGGGCACGAACCCGTGTCCCCTGCATCGGCAGGCGGACTCTCAACCACTGCGCCACCAGGGAAGCCCCTAGAATTTTTAAAAAGAAATATTTTCTTGGTCCTTGCCCCCTTTCCTTTTATTCTTTTTTTAAAAAATATTTATTTATTTATTTGGCTGCATTGGGTCTTAGTTGTGGCACGCAGGAGCTTCATTGTGGCATGTGGGCAATCTAGTTGTGGCGCACAGGCTCAGTTGCCCAGCGGCATATGGGATCTCAGTTCCCTGACCAGGGATTGAACCCACATCCCCTGCATCGGAAGGTGGATTCTTAACCACTGGACCACCAGGGAAGTCCCAGAATTTTTTTTTTAAAATAGATTTATTTATTAATTAATTTATTTTTGGCTGCGTTGGGTCTTCGTTGCTGCCTGCGGGCTTCCTCTAGTTGCAGCCAGCGGGGGCTGCTCTTCATTGCGGTGGGCGGGCTTCTCATTGCGGTGGCCTCTCTTGTTGCGGAGCACGGGCTGTAGGCGCACGGGCTTCAGTAGCGGTGGCGCGTGGGCTCAGTAGTTGTGGCTCTTGGGCTCTAGAGCGCAGGCTCAGTAGTTGTGGCACACGGGCTTAGTTGCTCCGTGGCATGTGGGATCTTCCTGGACCAGGGCTCGTACCCGTGCCCCCTTTATTGGCAGGCGGATTCTTAACCACTGTGCCACCAGGGAAGCCCCCAGAATTTTTATATAAAGGCAAGAGGCCAACCTGGTTCCCTTCTAGCCTGATGATTTACCTAAGTCATCACTGAATTTTTGGTGTTACAGTCTGAAGGGGAAACATGCATAGATTTTTAAATCTTTTTTTAATTTTTTGTTTTTGGCTTTCATGTTAGAAAGGCCCTGGATAAAGTTCTGTTGGGCACGTCAGCTAGTCTTGTCATTCTTGCGAGTGATTTCAGTAATGCCAGACTAACTTTCAGAAATATATTTTTGAAAAACACCTCATCATTGGGACTTCCCTGGCAGTCCAGTGGTTAAGACTTCGCCTTCTGGTTCAGGGGATGCGGGTTCAATCTCTGGTCGGGGAGCTAATATCCCACATGCCTCACGGCCAAAAAACATAAAACAGAAGCAATATTGTAACAAAATTCAATAAAGACTTTAAAAATGGTCCCTGTATTGAAAAAAAAAATCTTCAAAAAAAAAAAAAGAAAAACCTCTTGTTGATAAAGAGGTTTTACTACCCCCGCTTACAAACAGGAGAACCAGAGCTCCCAGCAGAGGGGTAGAAAAAGTGACAGAGCTGTAATTTGGAATCTGCCTCCAAAGGGCAGGATTATTTCACTTTGGCTGCACTGCCCTTCAGTTCAAGGACCTGAGCCCTTCAATGTGGGAAGGTTGGGAAGAGTGTATGGTGATCTGAGCAAAATACGAAGCAGTTGTGCTCTGTACGCAGCACCATTCTGATTTTCTTTTGTTCTGATAGAAATCTTGTTGGCTTTTCCACTCATTAGGTTCTTCTGGTTGGGCTCAGACCTGCCGTGAGAAGCCTGTATATCTGAAAATGAACCCCACGGGTATAGCAGACACCACCCTGGATGAAAGCATCTATAACAATTATTATCTTTATGAAAGCATCCCCAAACCTTGCACCAAGGAAGGTATCAAGGCATTTGGGGAGCTCTTCCTGCCCCCCCTCTACTCCTTGGTCTTTCTGTTTGGTCTGCTTGGAAATTCTGTGGTGGTTCTGGTCCTGTTCAAGTACAAGCGGCTCAAGTCCATGACCGACGTGTACCTGCTCAACCTTGCCATCTCGGACCTGCTCTTTGTGCTCTCGCTCCCTTTCTGGGGCTACTATGCCGCAGACCAGTGGGTGTTCGGGCTCGGCCTCTGCAAGCTAGTTTCCTGGATGTACCTGGTGGGCTTCTACAGTGGCATATTCTTCATCACACTCATGAGCATCGACAGGTACCTGGCCATTGTGCACGCGGTCTTCTCCCTGAGAGCGAGGACCTTGACTTACGGGGTCATCACCAGCGTGGCCACGTGGGCAGTGGCTGTGCTTGCCTCCCTCCCAGGCCTTGTGTTCAGCACGTGTTATACTGAGCACAACCACACCTACTGCAAAACCAAGTACTCTTTCAACTCCACGAGGTGGAAGGTTCTGAGCTCCCTGGAGATCAACGTTCTAGGGCTAGTGATCCCCTTGGGGATCATGCTGTTCTGCTACTCCATGATCATTAGGACCTTGCAGCACTGCAAAAATGAGAAGAAGAACAAGGCAGTGAAGATGATCTTTGCCGTGGTGGTCCTCTTCCTGGGGTTCTGGACCCCTTACAACGTGGTGCTCTTCCTGGACACCCTGGTGGAGCTGGAGGTCCTTCAAGACTGCACCTTTGAGAGGCACCTGGACTATGCCATTCAGGCCACAGAGACCTTGGCTTTTGTTCACTGCTGCCTTAATCCGGTCATCTACTTTTTCCTGGGGCAGAAATTTCGCAAGTACATCGTACAGCTCTTCAAAACCTGCCGGGGCACTTTGGTGCTCTGCCAGTACTGTAGGTTCCTCCCGATTTACCCCGACACCCCCAGCTCATCTTACACACAGTCCACGGTGGACCACGATCTCCACGATGCTCTGTAAAAGATGAAAATGTGAAAAGCAGAGTTAATAAGCTTCTCAAATTAAGAGCTTATTTAAAATTGTATTGTAGTAAGAGTTTTCTGAACAAGTACCGGGAAGAATTATATCCACTGCAAAAAGTAGGGCTTCTCACCCTGCAGTCAGCTTTTCTTCCTGCCAAGTACAAGTTCAGTGTGACCAGAGTTCACCCGGACCAAGGTGTCCTTCCTCGCACCAGGCTTTCCTGCAGGGATGAGTAAACCCGAGGAGGATTCTGAGCAGTGTTTCAATGAGGAATTGGATGATTTTGGAAAGGGAAGACCAGTCCCTTCTAACCTGAACTCATGGGATTCTCTAGAGGGGACTGTAGAGAATTGACTGGGGGAGTAAATCTCTACTTCTTGCTGTGAAAATGAGCCCTTTCATTAACTTCTAGCTTTTTGTGAAACAATATAGAAAACTTCGGCATGCTGTCCCAGTGTTTTCCTAAGAATATATCTGAAGCATGGTATATTCCATGTAGCCAGGTGTCTGCAGAAACGAATAGTGAAGTAATGAACTTAGATCTTGATTCTTTTATTGTAAAGGCTTATCTGTTAATGGAAGCCAAGCTTTCAATGCTGATTACAATCATAAGGAGAAAAAGGCATTAGCATGGTCTGATTTCCAAACATGAAATACAAGGCATTAACAAATCTAAACATACTTGTGGAAATCCAAACACAGCTTCATATGCTTGCGGACATGTTTTGTTTTAATTATAACAGATGAATATTCAAATTAAAAAAATAATACATAGGCCCAGACACATTTATTTGGGGTCTTTTACTCATTTACAAACATTTCCTTCAAAACCAAAAATGATGAGGACTAATCAAGTATGACAATTTTTCCTTAATCATTTTGAAGTGCCTGCCGTCAAGTGAGGCAAGAATAATCCACTAAAAGTTATCGCTGATGTGGCATAAAAATGACTTTCCAAGGTGTCATCCTCTCTTTTAAAATACTGGCCCTGCTTTTTAACTTTTGCATGACTCAAAAGTTCTTACAGGTCATTTTAATTATGTAATTAATCATTTTACACCATTAAGATAAATCTCTGTTCGTACAGCCTTAATCAGAATTAAGTAAAGACTTTAAGAAAGTCTAGGGATACCTGTACTATCTCCAGAAACAAAACCTATTTTACAGACTATTACCTGAGTTAACCAGTTTAAAATGTTTCTGTAAATTTACACATTATTGCACGCTTTACATTTATAAAGAATGCATTTCCAGAAAATTTATTTTCAGAAGTGATTTTAACAGGGTAAGTTGATGTTGCCTTTGTAGAAATACAATAAAATAAACCTGTGTATGGTTTCTCCTTGGTATGTGTGTGTTTGGTCTCCCGATGGGGATGAGAATCTGAGCCACTAATATTCCAATTTTCTCGATTAATGATCTTTGCTACATGTCATAGATGAGATGGATGTCCCCGAGAGGAAGAATTAAAGGGTTCACTGTTAAGATCACCACTTGGGATGGGGAAAGGAGTCGCTACGTGTTGTCACAACACTTGGAGGTTAGAATGGATAAGGAGTGGGGGTGGGCCGGGTTCCTAGGCAGCGTTTCCTTAGAAAACCTCCGCACCATATGGCAGGGTCTGCAAATCCTACCTCTGTGTTTCCTTGTGAGTCTGACCACATTACTTTCCTCTCTTAGCCTCAGTTTCCTCACATCTGTAAAGCAGAATATAGTTCAGAGTGATTGAAAAAAAGAAATAAGATGATTACTGAAAGCGTCTATGTTCCTTAGTCATAGATAAAGTGTGGTTTTGAACTTCCCAGCCAGTGACTGCCTCCCCTTTCCTGAGGGAGCTTGTAATTTCATTCATTTAATCACAAGGAGACAGAAATTTAAGGACACCGAGGGAGTTCCCTGGCAGTCCAGTGGTTAAGACTCCGAGCTTTCACTGCAGGGGGCACGGGTTCGATCCCTGGTTGGGGAACTAAGATCCCACATGGCACACAGCATGGCCAAAACAAAAAAAACCCCAAAACCCCAGTAAGGACACCAAAAGACAAAGACTGGCCAAAGGGTTTTTACTGTCCCTTCCTTGTCCATCGCATACAATGCTAAGCAAGGCTGCGGTGCAGACCACACAGCTACCACCCCTCCACCTGAAGGTAGGGTCACTTATCACCCCCAGTCACTCAGGGCCTCCCTTGTTCCAAAGTTGGGGGGTGTCCCCTCAGGATGGGAATTTAAAACCTCTGGTGATACCCAAACATAATCCTCTCAGAACACTGAAAAGAAAGTTCCTTCTTCCCCTTCAGTAACAGAAACATAGAAAGCAAGCCAGCTTGATTTCTACACAAAGGTTTTTTTTTGAGGGCATCGGGACCAATGATCACCAGCTGCCCAAGTACCAAAAAATTATGCTTCCAAAGTCTCTTGATGTCGATTCCGCACAAAGAACAAGCAAGCTGCCCTATGTGTGCCACTCACAACAGAAGCCCTTTTTAAGGTGGGTTTAACAATAAGTTTTCAGACATTAGACCCACCCTTTTCTTGTGGCAATATGCCTCGCTTCTGGGGAACACAGGCTAGGTGTAATTTCTTTAAGAACAAAAGAAGCAGGTTTGCTTTGGAGGTGATGTAAATGTTTTGGAACTAGATAGAGGTGATGGCTGCACAGCATTGTGAATGTACTAAATGCTACTGAATTGCACATTTTTAAATGATTAGTTTTTTTTTTTTTTTTTTTTTTTTGCGGTACGTGGGCCTTTCACTGTTGTGGCCTCTCCCGCTGCGGAGCACAGGCTCCGGACGCGCAGGCCCAGCGGCCATGGCCCACGGGCCCAGCCGCTCCGCGGCACGTGGGATCCTCCCGGACCGGGGCACGAACTCATGTCCCCCGCATCGGCAGGCGGACTCTCAACCACTGCGCCACCAGGGAAGCCTTAAATGATTAGTTTTATAGTATGTGAATTTTACCTCAACAACAACAACAAAAAGAATAATAAGAAATAGCCCTGTCAGGATCTGTCCCGTAGTTGGTACTCAAATTCTATTAAATAGATGTGTTACCTGCTTCCCATGAGAAGGAAGAATACAGGGTGATGGCAAAAGGTCTTCAGATCTTTAGGTATGTTATTCCTAAGAAACTCTCATAACACTTTGGGACATTTGATGCAATTAATTCCTATTTGTTGAGAGTCTGTTTTGTGCCAAACCGGATGCTAGGTAATGGATAGAATATAGGATAAAGGAGTGAGCTCTGTATGTATGGAATTTATAATCTGAGAAGGGAAAACACAAGCACAAGATCGACTACAGTGCAAGCAGGACAGATAGGATAACAAAGTCACAAACAAAATGCTTCAGGACCCCAAATGAAGGAGAAATCGATTCAATGTCAAATTTTATAATACAAGTAGCTTTTGAAGTCGGCTTTATAAGAAGAGCATGATTTGGATGAATGGAAGGGAGGAAGGACATTCTATGCTGATGAAATCATACATGAAAAGGCAGGTGTGGTGTCAAGAGCACACTGTGTGGTCAGGTAGTGGTGAGGAGGTTTTCGTAGTTAAAGTGAACGTTGCAGGTGAGGGAGAGGAGCAAAGTAGGAAAAGATGAGACAAAAGAAAAATTATAGACCTAAGAGGCAGCAGTTTTGAGCTCCTGAGCCAGTGGCCATCCTGCATTGGGCTGGAGGAGACTGTTAGTGGGTGCTGTGGGATGCCATCCACACACCTCATGCAGGACGGAGGGCCGCTCACTGCACCATCTACCAGGAGGCCGGACATCTGGGGCTCTCAGCTGGTCTCCTTTCAGGACTGTCCTTCCTGGGCCAGCTCATATCCAGCGCCTGGATACTGAGGAGAAAGAAACACTTGCCCCCTTGCTTTAATTTGGGACAACGCTGATAGGCCATTACAACTGCAGAGCTCCCCATAAGATTAGCTGGGGCCTCTGCTGCAGCTACATTGTGGACCAACTTTTCCTACTGCCCACTCCTGCTTCCTTCATGCCCTTACAGGTGTTGTTCCCAAGAGGACTCCTCATTAAAACTCCTGTATGCTAATCTCAGGGTTTCAGAGTCTGTTTCCAGGAACTCAGGTCTAAAATGGGGACTTCTGGATCAGCACCTAATATAAATGGAAATTGACCCCATTTCCACTGTGGGAAAATGAGGAAGCACTGAGTTTGCATCAGGGCTGTCCATTCATTGCCTTCTGGCCCTCATTTGACTCTTGGTTCATGCAATTCCATTAGTCAACCTCACCTTTGCTGCCATAATTTGCCTGCCTTAAGCCCTGAGGCATTGTCCCTACACTCTGTTTCTATTATAGTCATAGGCCAACTCTACCCTTGGCCGTATTGTGGCCACCTGACGTCCTGTGTTCTGTACCGGTCAGTGGCTTCCTGCACTCAAAGGAACCAGACACAAGCTCCACCCATTTCTGTGATCACAATACTTTACTCCTGAATGGCCATCATCAAAAAGTCTACAAATAATAAATGCTGAAGGGAATTCCCTGGAGGTCCAGTGGTTAGGACTCCATGCTTTCACTGCCAAGGGCCTGGGTTCAATTCCTGGTCAAGGAACTAAGATCCCACAAGCCACGTGGTCCAGCCAACAGCAACAACAACAACAAATCAAAAACAAAAAAAAAATGCTAGGGAGGTCGTGGAGAAAAGGGAACCCTCCTACACTGTTGGTGGGAATGTAAATTGGTGCAGCCACTATGGAAAATAGTATGGAGGTTCTTTGAAAAACTAAAAACAGAGCTACCATATGATCCAGCAATCCCACTCCTGAGCATCTATCTGGAGAAAACTCTAACTCAAAAAGACACATGCAGCCCAATGTTCACAGCAGCACTATTTACAATAGCCAAGACATGGAAGCAACCTAAGTGTCCATCAACAGATGAATGGATAAAGAAGGTGTGGTACATATGTACAATGGAATATTAATCAGCCACCAAAAAAAAAAAAAAAAAAAAGAAAGAATGCCATCGGCAGCAACATGGATGGACCTAGAGATTATCTTATTAAGTGAAGTAGGTCAGACAGAGAAAGACAAATATCATATGATATCACTTACACGTGGAATCTAAAAAAAATGATACAAATGAACTTATTTATAAAACAGAAATAGACTCACAGACATAGAAGACAAACTTACGTTTACCAAAGAGGAAGGGTGGAAGGGATAAATTAGGAGCTTGGGATCAAAATATACACACTACTATATATAAAATAGATAACCAACAAGGACCTACTCTGTAGCACAGGGAACTATGTTCAATACCTTGTAATAACCTATAATGGAAAAGAATCAGAACAAGTATAGATACATATATGTATAACTGAATCACTTTGCTGTACACCAGAAACCAGGACAACATTGTAAACCAACTAATTTCAATAAAAATAAAATACTTCACTCCTTAAAAGCTTATAATGGCTCCAAATTCCCCTTTCAGTATACCAGAACTCCACCAACTGTTTTCACATATTGAAACTCATTTCAGCCTCTTCTTAAAGTAGATAAGGTTGGTTTTATTATCCCCAAGCAACTGAGTTCAGGGGAAACAATATTCTAATAATGAATTAGACAAACCCTACCAACAATAATCATCACCTCACTGCTTAGTGAAATGCCTAGCGCAGAGCAGCTGTTCAATTATTTTTTCGTGAATGAGTGAGTTTCCTTATCTCTTAATTAAGTACTCTATGCTGGCAATTCAAGTTTCTATTTCACTACACAAAGGTCACCAGTCCTCTCTCCAAAATCCCCATTATGTTTCTAATAAAACTTTGTGTGACAGAGCTCAAAGGTTGATTGAATTGCCTCCTAGTTCCAAAAATTGTGGTCCTTGGGTCAAAAATGACTTCATTAAGACTTCTGGTATGAACAGAGCTGCAGAAGTCTGCATTTTCATCTTCTCTGGGAAATTGTAAAATAACAGCAAGAAGAAAGAATGAAAAAACCCACGAACTCCATTTTCAATCAAACTTGGAGAGAGAGATACTTTTCAGACTCCAAAATATATGAAAGGTCTGCTAAAAGCAGCCGACGTCAGGCGCAAATTGTGGGGAAAGGTGAAGAGAAGGGTGGGGAGAGGGTGCAGCAGTGACGGACCTCACAAAGCACTGAAAGAATCCACTTCCCAAAGGGAGGGGCACACCTCCAGGAGAAAGGCTTCAGTCAGAAGCCCTCCGAGTCCCAGTTCGGTTCAGAAGAGCAGACGAGGCAGATTTGTTAAATTTCAGATTTGCAGGAGGCAATCTCTCTCTGAGGCAGTAGAAGAGAGTCATTGGGTTGTGAAAACAGCTTGCCTCCTGGA